CAGTGGCTGACTTTATTTGGGCGGGCTCCAAAATCTCTGCAGATGGTGACTACAGCCATGAAATTAAAAGATGCTTACTTCTTGGAAGAAAAGTTATAACCAACCTAGACAGAATATTAAAAAGCAGATACATTACTTTGCCAACACAGTCCATCTAGTCAAGGCTGTGGTTTTTCCAGTGGTCATATATGGATGTGAGTTGGACTATAAAGAAAGCTGAGCGCCGAAGAATTGATGCTTTTGAACTGTGATGTTGGAGAAGACTCTTGAGAGTCCCTTGGACTGCAAGGAGATCCAACCAGTCTATCCTAAAGGAGATCAGTCCTGGGTGTTCATTGGACGGACTGATGCTGAAGCTGAGACTCCAATACTTTGGCCACCTGATGGGAAGAACTGACTCATTTGCAAAGACCCTGATGCTGGGAAAGATTGAAGGCAGGAGGAGAAGGGGACGACAGAGGATGAGATGGTTGGATGGCATCACTGACTCGATGGACATGAGTTTGGGTAAACTCTGGGAGTTGGTGATTAACAGGGAGGCCTGGCATGCTGCAGTCCATGGGGTCGCAAAGAGTCTGACACGACTGAGCAACTGAACTAAACTGAATAAGAAATGCAAAAGCAACAGCTTTATTTTTTCCCTGTAGTCAATCTCCTTCTTCCCTAGAGTCCTCCTTATTTGGCTGTTGGAGACAATAGTGGTAGTGGGTGATGGAGAGAACATAAGCTCATGCTCTTCTGATCTAAAAACAGCTTATTCCGGGTAAGTCCAGTCTCTTTGGGGAAGATGCTTCATCCGTTCTAAGACCGAAATTGTCCCCCTCTCTCAGAACGATCCTTCCCTTCTTTTGTTGCTCTCCTCTCTCCATCCGCTTTCCCAGATACTGTCTAGGTGCTCGGGGAGGCTGTTTACCTTCCACAGCACTGGGAGAAGGTGGCTCTGTGTTTTACTCCTGATGTTTCCACTGTGGTGTGGCCAGTTTGGTCTAGTCCTGGGTTGCCAGTGTGGGTCCTCGTATCCTCTGAGGTATGGATAATTCTGCCTGGTTCTTAGGGGTGTCAGGTGGTACGAGCTATTGATACCCATCCCATTTCACCCGCTCCCTGTGGAATCTTCTGTGGGCCCACCATCCACTCAGGACCTCCATGACCAGCCCCTCCCCCAGCAGAACTTCTGGATTGCCTAAGGATAGGTTCTAGAAGCACATCTCAGGGCCATCCATCCACGAACCTGCTCGAGCGGTTCCCCTTCACCATGAACATGGGGGAGAAGGTGAGCATGAGGGTTCTGCCTGACACTGTTTCTCCTGCTGCCTCCTGCATGCGGTTCTCCTGCATTGCACCATCTTCATGCAAGTCTCACAGCTCTGCGTGGGGAACATGCTCCCCCAAGGCACAGCCAGCATCTGCAGCCTGGTGGGAACCCTCCAGGTCTCTTTGCCTTTTGCTCTGAAGAGTATTCCACTTCCTCCTCTTCTCAGCTGGGAACTTGCCTTGCCCGACACCTCCAGTCTCTTTATGTTTGGGGCGACTGCTTTGGAAATCCGAAGTTCCATATGGACTCCTTCTCAGTGTTTCTGCTTTCCATCTCCTAACCCTCCCTAAAGCAGTGGATTCCCCCTGGCTGAGTGGCGTAGAGACAGTGTAAAAGGAAGCACTAAGAAAAACATACATGTGAAGGGGTGTGTGTGAGGGTTTGTGAGTTTGCTTGTCACTGGTGCCTGCACATGTGTCGTGTGTGTGCACGGGTATGAATGCATAAACATGCCCTTATGTGCACAGTATTGACCTATGGAGATGCGTAACATTCCCCTATTGTGTCTATTTCAAGATGCTTAGCATGCTTTGTTTACTTGTTTACTGTCAGTTTCCCTCACTAGAATAGAAGCCCTGTGAAGGACGGGACTTGCCCGCCTTGTTCATCACTGTATTCCTAGCACAGTCCCTGAGCCACAGATCGTGCTCTGGCAGCATGTGCTGAATGAATGAATGAAGAATGAGTCGGGATCCATTATGGCCTGAGAAAATGTTGGGCTTTCCATTTAACTTAGGATTTTACCCTTGTCACTAAGGTTTCTTATTTTCTGTAATGCTCAAAGATTGAGTAAATTTGTGAACGAAGTACCAACATGTATTGACTATGTCCTGTATTGTGCTAAGCATTAATGTGAAAATCTCCTTTAATCTTTGCAATTATCCTCTGAGACCTGAAGCCTGATCATGCCCTCTGCCCAGAGAAGAAGACTGGGGATCAGAAGAACAAAGTGATTTTTCCAAGTTCGAAAAGCCAAGAAGTGGCTGCACTGAATTGGAACCCATGTTTCTCTCACACGGGATCCCACTACCTTACTTTGGAGAAAGAAGACAGGAACAGTCAGGGTGCCTGCTTCACAGGGTGTGCAGATCAAATAAGTAACAGTGACTAGAATACCTCTTGGCACAGAATACACAGCTGGCCCTCAAATGATGTGGGAATTAAAGATGCCAGCTCTCTGCACAGTCTAAACTTTGCCTGTAACTTACAGTCAGCCTGCTGGGCCCAACAGCTCCATATCTGCAGATTCAGCCACCTGTGGACCCTTTAGTACTAGAGAGTGTACCATTGGAAAAAATAAAAAATCCATGTAGGGACTTCCCTGGCGATGCAGTGCTTAAGACTTCACCTTCCAACACAGGGTGTGCAGGTTCAATCCCTGGCGGGGGAGCTGAGATCCCCCATGCCTTACAGCCAAAAAACCACAGTATTAACCCAGAAGCAATATTGTAACAAATTCAATAACGACTTTATAAAGCTCCATATAAAAGTGGACCACATAGCTTAAACCCCTGTTGTTCAAGCTGTACTACTCATATTTGTAGTCCTGCTGTTGTTTTATTCACCCGCCAATTTATTGTTTCATAGTTTCCATTTTCCTTTCAAGAGAAGAAGAATAAATAAACTTCATATCTCTGAGGCTAAAGGGCACTTGCAAATTGCCTTTTTACCTTCCCTCCTTCCTTCTGTTCTCCCACCTGCTTCTTGACAGAAGCAGGGAGAACCAGGTGAGAGCGTCACCTGCAGGTGTCACAGACGAAACTGGAGGAGGGTATCTGACGCTTTCAAAGGCTTATTTCAGGGTGGAGAATGAGAAAAGCAGCACCGAAATGGAAACCATGGTTGTGAAGATGCTATTGCATTCCTACAAGGACCCTCAGGAGCTGGAAGGGCTCCGAGTGGGATAGATGCGGGGCTAGGGGGTAGGGTGGGCAGTGGGACTTAGGCTGTGCCTGTAAAGAGGGAGCAGAACTCAACATACGTGGTGCCCAGAATGAATCTGGGGAGGGCGTCTCCTAATCTCCCAGGGGCCAGGGCACCAGATTTGGGCTGCTTTCTATGGACGTGGGGAATAACCTCATTGAGACCAGAGCGAAGATGGAAGTGGAGCTCAGGGAGACTTGCAGCTGAAAGCGATGTTCAGAAAGAGGAAAGTTAGACATTTGGCTGCAGGAAGGAAGGAAGGAAGGAAGGAAATAGAGATGCAGTCAAAGGAGCTTTGGAGAGGAAGGCTAGTGTGATGGGACCTGGCCACTGTCCCCACCTTTCAGGGAGCCCCTGGGGCATCCTCTGAGCTGTATCTGCAGACCCTCTTCTAGGGGAAGAAGGGTGTTCTGACCTTCTCTCCTCATTTTCCGTATTCTTAGACTGAATAATGGCTTTACAGTGACTCATGTAAACTACACGGAGAAGGCAATGACAGCCCACTCCAGTACTCTTGCCTGGAAAATCCCATGGACAGGGGAGCCTGGTGGGGCTGCAGTCCATGGAGTTGCAAAGAGTCGGACATGGCTGAGCAACTTCACTTCACTCACTTCACTAACTCCATACTGTATCACTGGAGAAGGCAATGGCAACCCACTCTAGTACTCTTGCCTGGAGAATCCCATGGACAGAGGAGCCAGGCGGGCCCTACTCTTGCCTGGAGAATCCCATGGACAGAGGAGCCAGGCGGGCCATGGTCCATGGGGTCACAAAGTCAGACACGACTGAAGTGACTGAGCATGCACGTGTAAACTACAAGTACTGTAGAACCACAGGACATTGCTCATGTTATCATCCTTGTTTCTCCAGAGCAGAAGAGGGAGAGAGGTGGATCCTTAGGAACAGAGGCTGGTTCTGAGTTGTTAAGGAACATCTTTCCAGTCCCTTCAAAGGAAAGAGTCCTATCTTTGGATTTGAGAAAAGCCAGAGATGAAACTGGCTATTGGGAAGCCAGAACCATGAATGTAGGCAGCTCACGGACCCACCACGGGGGGAATCTCACATTAAAGAAACAGGGAAGGGGCAGGATATCAGAGCTCAGAGAAACCTGCAGGAGGGTCTGTGCCTGAAGTTTTCAAGCCCACTCCCGCCCAGCAAAGGATGCTGTGGGGCCGCTAGACTGGTTGCCGTGGAGCCTTTCTTGGCCCCTGCTCCTATTTTAACCTAAACGCTTCTACTTCTGCACTCTTTAGGCTGAGTTTCTGCATAAGGTTCTGCTGTCGCTGCATGAAATGTGCAGAACTCAGCCCTGTTCCACTTCACTCGGTGCATTGGAAGAGGAAAGGAAGTCTTCGTGAGCAGAGCACACTGCTCCCAGATCACGCAGCTAGTTTGGGGCGTAAAAGGGACTTCAGTCGGGCACCCCAGAAGGAAACAAATGGGACTAGCTGGGAAGAATTCATGTCCCCCCAAGGTGCTTCCCACATCAGAGCCAGTGGCCTGGGAGGGCCTGGATGGCTGTCTGTCCCCTGGATGCCACATCTGATTAACAGCCCAGGACAGAACCAGGTTGGTGCAGTTGTTTATTATCTCAGCCAAGGAAGGCTTGACAGGGAGAAAAAAAAACACCTCTTCATACATTTGCATCAAAATGCTCTCCAACTTTTTACTCCAGCGCTGCCTTTGTTAGCCTGAGAGCTCTATTATCATCTCTCTATAAATCTGGCAGCGGTATTTGCATATGCCCACGTAGGCGCTATACCATTTCCAGGCTGTCATGACATTCAGAGAGGTGAGCAGGAAGAACATGCCACTGGAGTGAGAGGCGAGCCTCCTCACATCTGTGCTGATGACCCCTTCAGATGCGGGTGCAGCTTGGGTGAGGGTGGCGCACTGTCTGCTGGTCACAGGCAGGAAGCTAGGCACTGCGCTCGGCATCCAGACGGGCATCATCCAGTCCTCATGACAGCCTGAGAAGTGAGCGTCTGCTGGTCACAGTGGGCTAGGCTCAGGTCAAAGCTACAATGGTGTATCACCTCACACTGGTCAGAATAGCCAGCACCAAAAAGTCTACAGATAATAAAAGGTGGAGAGAGTATGGAGAAAAAGGAATCTTCCTGCCTTGTCGATGAGAAGGTAAACCGGTGCAGTATGGAAGACAATATGGAGGTTCCTCAGATAAGACTAAAAATAGAACTACCAGATGACCCAACAGTCCCACACCTGGGCAGACATCTGGAGAAAAGTCTAATTCAAAAAGACACATACACCTCAGTGCTCATTGCAGTCTTATTTACAATAGCCAGGAATGGAAGCAATCTAAATGTCCATCAACGATGAATGGATAAAGAAGATATGGTACATATATACAATGGAATATTACTCAGCCATAAAAAGAATGAAATAATACCATTTGAAGCAACATGGATGGACCTAGAGATTATCATATTAAGTGAAGTGAGTCAGAGAAAGATAAATATCATATGATAACACTTATAGGTAGAATCTAAAAAATGTGATACAAATGAATTATCTACAAACCAGAACTAGACTCACAGACTTAGACCAACAGGGGCAAGAAGTGTGGAGGGATAAATTAGGAGTTTGGAATTAATGGATACACACTACTGTATATAAAATAGATAAACAAGGACTTGCTGTTTAGCACAGGTAACTGTATTCAGTATCATCTAATGACCTTTGGAATTCTAATGGAAATTCTAATCTAATTAGAAGTCTAATTAATTCCAATTCTAATGGAAAAGAACCTGAAAGAGAATATATGCAATGATATATAAGGTCTTCCCCATGACTCAGCAGGTAAAAGAATCTGCCTGTAATACCGGAGACATGGGTCCGATCCCTGGGCTGGGAAGATTCCCCTGGAGAAGGAAACAGCAACCCATTCCAGTATTCTTGTTTGAAAAAATCCCATAGACAGAGGAGGCTGGTAGGCTGCAGTGGGTTGCAGAGTCAGGCATGACTGAGCAACTATGCAGCAGCGATGATATATAAACCTCGTTTTATAAACATAGATACCTACACACACATACATAATATGGTGTCACTTTGTGCACGCCTGAAACTAGCACAACATTTTATATCAACTGTGTTGTTGCTGTTTGTTCAGTCACTAAGTCGTGTCTGACTCTTTTGCAATTGCACGGGACGTGGCCCGCCAGCCTCCTCTGTCCATGGGATTTCCCAGGCAAGAGTACTGGAGTGGATTGCCATTTCCTTCTCCAGGGGATCTTCCCAACCCAGGGATCCAACCTGCGTCTCCTGCATTGGCAGATGGATTCTTTAGCACTGAGCCAGAATTTTTTTAATTAAAAAAAAAAAGGGAGCAATCTAGGCTTTGTGATAGTAATGTATAAACTGGAATCTCAGTGGCTTCACATAATGAAAGTTTACAGGTCTTGCAAATCCAGACTGGGTTGTGAAATGGATGCTTTACAGGATCTTCTTTCTTTTGGCCAGGTTTCTCCTACTGTATCTAAAATCAAGTTCATCCTGCTACCTCTAAGACTGATTCTTTCTGCTTATTTATAGTTTACCCCACACAAGACACTCATAGCTTTCCTATTAATAAAATTTTACCCTATTTCCCAGTAAAATCTCTTGCTTTGCCAGCACGTGTGTCTCCTTGGACAATTCATTTCCAAATGTTAGACAAGAGGCCCATTTGGGCCTTGGAACGTTTCCTCATTCCTGCAACACTTTGGCCACCTGATGCAAAGAGCTGGCTCATTAGAAAGGACCCTGATGCTGGGAAAGACTGAAGGCAGGAGGAGAAGGGGACAACAGAGGATGAGATGGTTGGATGGCATCACCGACTTGATGGACATGAGTTTGAGCAAGGTCCGGGAGTTGGTGATGGATGGGGAGGCCTGGCGTGCTGCAGTCCGTGGGGTTGCAAAGAGTTGGACAGGACTGTGCAGCTGACAACAATAACAGAAAATAAAGGAAGGTACATGATATCAGCATCACAATGGAGCTTTTTAGAAATGCAGACCCTCCAGGCCCCACTCCAAACCTACAGAGTCAGAAATTCAGAGCGTGGGGCAGGTAAACTGCCTTAACAAGCCCTCCAGGGGATTCCTGCACAAAATCCAGGTTGAACCACTCCTGGTTAAGTAGGCATCTAAGTTCCAATCCTTTGCCAAGGAGATATGCAACTCTGGACAAGTTACTTGATCACTGTGAATTTCTGTCTTCTCATTTGTCATTGGGGTTCATCAAAGTATGTTCTGGGCTTCCCTGGTAGCTCAGCTGGCAAAGAATCCACCTGCAATGTGGTAGACCTGGGTTCAATCCCTGGTTTGGGAAGACCCCACGGAAGAGGGCATGGCAACTCAACCTAGTATTCCTGCCTGGAGAATCCCATGGACAGAGGAGACTGGTGGGCTACAGTCCACAGGGTTGCAAAGAGTCGGACATGACTGAGCGACTAAACACACCCTATTTCTTGGGAAGTAATACAATAGCCTTATGATGCCAGTGGTGAAGGCAGCCCTTTCCTGCCCAGACTTAGATTAAAAAGCATTCATTGTGCATGAAATTTAAATAATATCACACCGAAATGCCCTTTTTTATTACCTGGGAGAGAAGATTTAGGTCTCATTTCACCCCACCACAAATATCGCTCTTTCATGAAAAATGACAATACTGGTTTCATTCATGACATAATGAAGGGGGTGAGAAACAAACACTTAAAACCTAAATATGGAGTTTAGTGGGTTTGGTAAAACTTTTATGATTAGCTATAAACAATCAGACTTAATGAAGCGATACATCTGCTCCTACAAAGTATAAATGATTATTAAAGTTGTAGACAAAACATTCCTGCTCACAGAAGGCCTAATGGAATGAAAACAGTAATTACAATGCCAAAAATATTGTTAAGTGTTAAAATCGACACCGGGAAAATGAAACACTTTGCTTAATTTTTGATAACGTTACATGTTGAGACATGACATGCCTGGCATTTCAATTGACACAAAACCTTGTTTCTTAGCTCAAACAAATTTCAGACTTTCACACTCTGCCTTGCAATATTATTTCCCAAGTTTGGCCAGGCTCCTGCTGTTGCAGGGCAACAGGGTCCAAGTTATATTTCCTTTATTCTTGTACATTGCCTAGACTCAAGAGTTTTGTCTTGTTGCTGTTTACCCTTTTAAGTGCAAGTTGAATACTATGATCTGAAATACCACTGCTTGCAAATGTCAGCTCCCCTCCCAAGAGAAGCAACATGTGTGTGGACAAAGCATATAACTCAGGTCCCCCAGAGATCCATGAACCACATTCTGTATCTGTTCCTATGATATCTGATACTATATATAGAAGCCAAACATCAAGTGGGGACCATTTTGCCTGCTGTCTCTGGGCCATCAAAACATTGCCTAGAAATGGCTTATAATTTCTATTTTAATATATTCCCTGTAATATATGCAGGTTTCTACAAACAAAAGGAACCCCACACATTTCAGGAGGCCGACAGTGTGAAAAGGCTCTCTCCTTGGAGCGCTGAAATCAGCACCATTTGAACAAAGCAGCCTGTCCTTTTAAGAAAAATCCCTCTATAGAAATGCTATAATTTCCCTGTTACAAAGGAGCCTTTTTCAGAGCACGTAAAGTGCCAGTTTGTTCGGTGTGACCTCTGCTTTCATTCTATCAAGGTTGTATCTGATTACAATATAAGACAGATGAAGGGGATGTCGTGTGAGGCAAAGAAGGGAAAAAAAAGTTTTAGTCTTGGGTCACTTGCAGAAGTGGCTCATCATTTTTATTGGCAATGTTTTCAATAACATTCTGGGGGTGGTTCTCCTATGTCCGTCTGAAAAGACCTGTCTGGGATATATTTTCAGGGGCTTTGAGGTGCTTATTGGGAGTTGACCCACAAGGGTGAATTCTGTATTGCTGTTTTCCTTCCAGAAAACACGGTGGATGAACAGGAAAGGGTCTCAGCAGACATCAGGTGCGCAAGGGACCTCCTTGTGTCTCTGGCCATTTGGTTATAAGCCCGCACTGGCCAGCAGTCCAAATCCTGCAGGAGTTGATGTGATTTCAGAAGATCCGTGAACTGTAAAGAACAAAACGGAAGTTTCTTGTGCATTGCTGGAGACAGAAAAGCATGGTGGTAAAGAGTCCGAAAGAACTGGGTCTTAAAGCCTGGTTCTAAACTTACTAATCCTGGTGAACATTCTGTACCATGCTTATTATTTGGGCTAATTATCTCTCTGAGCCTCCGTCCTATCCTCTAACTCACAGGGTTGTCAGGAGTTAAATGAGACGATGTCCATTACCGAACCCAGGACACAGTAAGTGTTCAAGTAGTATCAGATATGATTATTATTCGTAGTTCTTACTTTAAAGGAGAGAGAAAGCCCTGGGAATTCTTGCCTCCCTGGAAACCAAGGGAGGGAGCATGGTTGATGTAATAGAACTCACCGAGACATGGGAGTTAGACTTTATTCTGTCCCCAGTCTGAGACCCTGGCTTTATATTCCTGCCGTTGAGCTTCCCAAGTATTGAAACCAAATACTTTCTCTTCCTAGTGCCTAGCCTATGGGATGGTCCATACACAGTTTATGAATGCAGGGCTGAGATAACAAATGGAAAGCGCTTGGGACATAACAGATGCTTTAACGATGTCACAGGCATTTAGGGGTTGGATCATCTCTACCCCAGGGGGTAAACTGTGCTCCTTTCAGTGCTTCCTTAGAAAGCACAACCAGCCCCACCCTTATGCCATGGCCCAAACCCTCAGGCCCTGCTGGGAGCAGAAAATTCCTTCCTATAGCCACTCA